AGGGGTCGTCCTCAAAAAGGTTGTAAGGGAGGTTTTGTGGGCGAGGGGCTTGGACTTCCAGCAGGCGTGCGTGAGCATGTTTGATAGGAGTGAATGGAGACAAATGGTATTTGGGACCTGACAATCTGTTGGAGTGTGAGCAGGGTAATATTTAGTGAAGGGATTCAGGGAAACCGGTTATTTTTATATAGCCGGACTTGAGACCTGGAAATGGGAAGTACAATGCCTGCACTCTAAAGGAGGGGTTCGGGATATTGACGGTTTGGAGGGATATGTTGTGTATCATTATACGTATATGCTTTTAAGCTGCTGTGTTCTGAGCACCTCTGCAAAAACAGTGATTATGTGTGAGTGAGGTGAAAGAGTTGAATGATGAAAGTATTTTTCTTTTGGGGGATTTTCTTTCTTTTTGGGTCACCCTGCCTCGGTGGGAGACGGCCGACTTGTTGGAAGGAAAAAAAAAAAATTGCCCTTAGACAGGACATCTACACCACCTCCAACTGCCTCCTTGCTGCAGCATTTACAACCCAAGTTTCATACCCATATAAGAGTGTTGGTACCACTATACTCTCATACATTCCCTTCTTTGCCTCCATGGATAACGTTTTTTGTCTCCACATATACCTCAACGCACCACTCACGTTTTTTCCTTCATCAATTCTATGGTTAACCTCATCCTTCATAAAGCCATCCACTGACATGTCAACTCCCAAATATCTGAAAATATTAATTTCTTCCAAACTCCCTCTCTTCAATGTGATATCCAATTTTTCTTTATCTAAATCATTTGATACCCTCATCACCTTACTCTTTTCTATGTTCACTTTCAACTTTCTAACTTTATACACCCTCCCAAACTCGTTCACTAACCTTTGCAACTTTTCTTTAGAATCTCCCATAAGCACAGTATCATCAGCAAAAAGTAACACTATCAACTCCTATTTCACATTTGATTTATCATGATTTAATCCCACCCTTCTCCCCAACACCCTAGCACTTACTTCTTTTAGTACCCCCTCTATAAACATATTAAACAACCATGGTGGCATTACACATTCCTGCCTAAGACCTATTTTTACTGGGAAGTAGTCTCCCTCTCTTCTACACACCCTAACCTGAGCCTCACTATCATCATAAAAACTCTTTACAGCATTTAGTAACTCACTACCTATTCCATATACTTGCAACGTCTGCCACATTGCTCCCCTATCCACTCTATCATATGCTTTTTCTACATAAATGCAGTGAAAATTTCCCTACAATTATCTAAATACTGTTCACATATATGCTTCAATGTAAACACTTGATCTACACATCCGCTACCCATTCTAAAGCCTTCTTGTTCATTTGCAATCCTGCTCTCTCTTGCCTCTAATTCTTTCAGTAATAACCCTACCATACACTTAACCTTTTATACTCAGTATACTTATTCTCCTATAATTTTTACAATAGGAAATTCTGTCAAAAAATTTACATTTTATAGAGGGATACTCAAAACTTTGTGCATTAAATTTCATTTTAAGTGAAGCGACACATTTTTCTTAGTTTGGCAGCATAACCTTTCAACATATAGGTTTGAAATGAGCAAATAATTCCTACAGTGCAATCCTTAGTATTATCGAAGGAAGACACACACCTATATCTAATGATTAGTGGCAAAACAAATTAATTGGGTACAGCATATTAATATTCTAGCTCTAAATACTTTTGTATTATTTAGGAAATTCAATAACTTTTCTCCACTGTATCAAGACAATGCTCTAGAATAAACGAAAACCACTAAATAGCGAAGTAATAAAAAATTACCCCAATTATAAAGAACTTTTCACTGTCCATGGTATTATTTCTCTCTTCAAAACTTTTTTCTGGGGTGCTAAACCTGTATGGGCCATTCAGCATAGACTGATGGAGGCTCAAACTTCCATCTGCTAATCGAAAAAAACTAGTTTCATAGCCAGGCTTTCTTTAGCTTTTGTCACAACTAGGATATAGTGATTGCTTATGGAGATGAGCAAAATGAGGATGCTTGGATATCTTTCACCTGAGCTAATGAATCCCTAAAGGTTTTAATAAATGTTAAGTATGGGGTTAACTGATAATTTCTCATGGTAAGGCTGTTACGAAGAAACCTTTAATACAAAATATTCTGATCTGTGCATTTTTGGGATATAGTACTGCATATCATTTACCCTTTAATTTACATGTTATCTTAAACTGCTCTACGTTTCAACCCTTGCATATTTTATCATGAATCAACTTAAAAAACAAAACCAAAGAAACATTCCATAAAAATGTTTACCACATATACAGTAGGGCCCCGCTTTACGGCGTTCTGCTAATACGGTCATTTCAAATTATGACCTAAACTCTCTATACGGCTCCCCCCACCTGACTTTCTAATACGATCACCGCACCCCACCCTGTTTGTTTACATTGTCCATGAGCTCTGTGAACACCATGTCTCTCCACTGTGTCTGGAAACTCCAAAATTTCAAGTGTTTTTAAAAGTTATTTCATATTTTATATATACTCTGATAATTATACTTGTGTATACCTGTACCTAAATAAGCTTACACACTGTGCTGGCATGCAGGTACACATTTAAATCAGTAAGAGTGTTATGTCTCGAGATGCCATATTAGTAATTGTAATAATACTCAATAACAGAGTCTCATTAAACGTCGTATATTACGTTAATATACACATTTTAATCAATCCATGTATGATATTTTTTCAAAATTATATAATAAACATGATACATAACATATAAAGATGATAAATACACTCCACAGCAGAATAAATAAACAAATATGAGATGTGGGAGCCAGACAACTTGTACTAGTGATGGGAAGAATAACATTTTCTCTCGTCCAACATAAGAGAAAATGTGTTACTGGGGGTAACTGTAGAAAATTATTCCTTTTGTATGCCTTCACTCAGAGCGTCATTTCTTCTAAAACATGGTGTTACTGTATCAACGAAGACAACTTGTACACAACGTAACTTGTACATAAACCAGACGTGTACACTTTGTTTGTTTACATAACTAACGTTCACCTGGTTTGTTTACATAACTCCACGAGTGTCCTCTCTCATGTAATCTATGTAACTGCATTTGTGTATATCTGAATAAACTTACTTACTGACTTAATATATGTTAGTGTAAACTTGTTATCTAGTATTTGTATGCATTTATAAGTGGAAAAAAAGAGATGTTCCACTTTACGGCGATTTCCACTTTACGGCGGTAGCCTGGAACCTAACCTGTCGTATAAGTGGGGCCCTACTGTAATAGTAAATGGGAAATAAAATTAATAGTGAAAAATGTTGACTTTTGCAACAATTTTACTTTTTAAACATCTTTTTTATTATAATTAGTATAAGGATGCCCTCGCTCCCCAATGGAAAAATGGTCTTCCTAATTTGGTATTTATACCTTGATTTTTTTTTTTTTTTTTTTTGCCATGTATGCAGCAATGACTAACAAAAAAAAATGACAATCTCATTTTCTGGATTTCACTAACACTTTACTAAAAATCAGGAGACAATACTTAATATTTTAGAAGTGGAGATGATCAATGCCTAACAAATTTCAAGCAATATTCAGTGTGTGGCTACTCAAAGTTCCTGGGCAGACTTAGTATGTAAGCAACACTAATGATCTGTAGTAGAAATGGACATTTTTACAAGGACCACATCATTACTCAACTACTGATATAAACCACCATAACCAAGGCAGTACAATTCAACATTTAAATTTATCTGCAAATTACACTGCACAAAATGAATCGTATCAAAAACACAATAAAATGAAAATAACTAATCCTCACAGACCAGACAGTAAGGAAGAAGGTTCACAATAAAAGAAATTAAATTTTGCTTATATAGTGTTATCTCAAAGATGGACACTAGATAATAGGTAAACAAAATTATTTTACAAGCCTTTAAAATTCAGATGATAACCATAATCTATGGACAAATACCATTATTCTCGCTGATCATAATGGGATCCAACCGATATACAGGGTTGGTAAAACACTGTGTCCATACAATTATATTAAGTCACAGATACTGATAGATCAAATTAGGTTATCCAACTCATTGTGACAAAATATACTATGCTATTAAAGACTAAAAATGTTTCACTACATAAATAGGCCCAGCATACAAAACAGAATACACTTATTCAGATAAAAACCATGTATCAAATTCATCAAACTACAATAATGGCAATAAAGACATAAATACTTAAAATCAGCACCATGGCAGTCACTCTGGATGACCAGTAAAATAAAGAACAACAGTTCAACTTTAGTTGCATCATTTAAAACTTAAAATTATTTTGGGTTACATTAACAGCAAAATTAAAATGATAACATTGGAAAAGTTTCCAAGTCATTGCCTCATGAGAATGACTATCTATAAATTTCATTCAAGAGAAAATCTCTCTCCCACTTGTTTGCCCCCCAATTAAAAAAAAAAAAAAAGCTAAATTTCATCAAGTATGTGCAGAAGAGCCAAAGTGAAAGAGGATTCAAACAACGTAGTATCCAAAGAAATGTGAGAGCAACTGTTAACATCCCCCTCTACTGATATGACTAGCACAAGTCTAGTGACTTATCATACAAACTGCTTCAACCAATAGTGTGATATACTGCTTAAATGTTCATTTCAAAACTTTTTTTGCTCTTTAAATTAAACTGTTTGCTTCTTAAAATCATATTATATACAGTATTTAAAAAAATTATATGAAAACTTTACTTTGTTAAATCAAAATGTGAATGACTTTTGTTTTCAGTAAAATGAGTGCAGGTATGGCGCTTTACTCATAACAATCGACACCAGGAGTAATTTTCAAATTAAATATTTCCATTTCAGTATTAAGACTGATTTGGGATGTACTATATTTTCGATCAAAATGAGCAAGAGGAGCAAGCTATTGTGTGTGTGCACCCCACCCACCATAACTATCCCCTGAATCTAAACAAATCACAGCTTACCTGTTCACGTTTAGCAGCCTTTTCCTCCTTCTCGCGACGACGAACCTCCAGCAGGAACTCGTCAAATAAACTCTCCCTCTCTCGCATCTTCTCTATGTTCCGGAAACGATCATCCTTGCTGAATTTGGCTGCAAAATCACTAAATGATGACTTCCCATTAAGTCCTGCCTCCTCCAGTAACTTACGGAACTCATCCTTTCGCTCCTTCAGCTTGTTTCGCTTCTCTCGACGTTCCTCCTCTGCACGCTCTTTTACATACCTATCAAAGGTTAGCAAAATTAATACATTTGTTCAGGAACACTCATGCATACAAAGTGCACACAGAAGCATGAAAAGCTACAGAAATGGTCAAATGGCTACTGAAGATCACCCAGTTTTTTAAATATTTCAGTATTTATGAAACTACCTTCTCCTGGGTCCCCTCTCAGTGTTTTATCACAATTTCCAAGTTATTTAGTAAAACTGCATCTTTTTTATCTTCTCCACTTGCAATCTTCTTCTTTCTGATAGTGAGGCCCAAGAAATATTATCTATTTGTTCTCATCCTTCATTTTTTTTGTTTTTCGTTTTTTATTAAAGCATGTCTCTTGTTGAAGGAGGAGCCCAAGCAGCCTTGTCCTGCCTTATACAAGTTGTTGCTCAATACTAAGGTCCACATAATCAAGAGTGGCAACCTAAACTTTTATTTTTACAAAAGTCTTTAATAATCCTAATGGTTGGTGAATCTTGAATCCCAAGGAAACTGGCTAGATAACATAATCAATGAGTATCTCCAATCTCCCAATGAATGCATGCTAAGACTGAATATTGTACAAGAATTTGAGTGGAAATGACCAATAGGCACCCAAACTCAATCCCTGATGAATAACATCACGACCAGAAAATGCAGCTGCCTAAGCAGAGGACTACACCTGTCCTCATAGTATACTTTGGACCAGACTGAGTGAAAGTGGAGAAAATTTAATCTACTGGGTCACAAAGAAAAGAACAAAATCTTCAAAATGTTCAGTCTGTGAAATTCAGCTTTTAAGGAGGCAATGTTATTTCCATAACAAATAGCAATAAAAAAGGACAGGAAATTTATATTTGGCTAGCTATAATAGGAGACCAATACAAAATCAGCAAGAGAAGTGGGACAACTAGCTATGTGAAGAGATCCAACTAAGTACAGTTGATAGCATTTTACAAGGCAATCATTTGGTTTATGTTAGTGCCAACACAAGTTATAGTAAAATCATCTGCACAGAGGAAGAAATCCCACAACAGAGAAACAAGAAAAGTCTATTGATAGCATTTAAGAGCAAGGTGGTGCTGACACCACACTTTTGTGGTCCTATTATTCCATGCAGTTGGGAAAAAGGTTAAAAATTATTTAAATACAAAAAAATATTCAAATGTTAAGAAATAGTAGAAGCAGTAGATGGTCTTAGGTCCCCCCCTAAAAAAGAGGATGGGGGAAGCAAACTGCATAACCAAAGTCTCTTCCTTAACCTCATGTTATAGCAATTTGCAAATGGATATGACAAAATGAATGGGTTAATAATGGAACAAATATCAACCCAATGTGTCCTGCTTCCAAAAAATGACAAAGCCTACTGCAGTTTTTCAGAGAATAGGTTGAACACATTAGAAAAGTTTCCTTATGCATATACACCTGTCAGTAAGTACCAGAGTGTTAACAGTTGTGAGTTGCATCCTGGGAAGGGTGATAACCCACTTTAGATAGGGCAATCCTTTGAACTGAGCCTGAGGCAGAACACAAGATCACAGCCAATTGATAAAAAAAAAACCACTTAAACCAAATTGCACAGAAGAGTTCCAAAATGAGTGTTGATAGGTGTACAGGTTGCAGTAAAGGAACACGTATTGTGCAAAGTCTCATCTGGCCAGTGCTGTTTGGCATTTTGACAATGCGAATAAACTATATTTTGTGGTATACAAGGCATGCATTTTGCTCAAAATAAGCTTCAGAAATTCACACTGCACCTTACATACTTCAGGTCAGAAAGGTGGTGGTTTCAGTGCTGTGGTACCAATAAACTGAACTTCAAACAAACCTTTACAAAATTGTAGATGAATGGTTCAGAGAGCCGACATATTGATAAATTAGACATGTGCAACTCTTGGGTATCTTTATTGAGGAAACGTTTTGCCACACAGTGGCTTCATCAGTCCATACAAAGGAGAAACTTGAAGAACAGGAGGAGAATGAGGTAATCAGTCCCTCAACCTTGAGTCGATGTGGTCAGTCCATCAATCTTGAATAGAATACGGTGTAAGTGTGGAGAGGGAGCTTATAAACTGTAGGCAGGAGAGGTGCAGCAGTCGTAGGTGGTGTCACATTTGTTCAATGTGGAAGTAGGTCGTGCCCAAGGGTTAGGCAAGCGAAGAATTCCCAAGTATTAAGAGCCCAAGAAGTTGCAGTGTCTGACAGGATTGTAGATGAATGGTTCAAAGAACCGACATATTGATAAATTAGGCACATGTGCAAATCTTGGGTATCTTTATTGAGGAAACGTTTCGCCACACAGTGGCTTCATCAGCCAATACAAAGGAGAAACTTGAAGAACAGGAGGAGAATGAGGTAATCAGTCCCTCAACCTTGAATCGATGTGGTCAGTCCATCAATCTGAACAAATGGACAAATGTGACACCACCTACAACTGCTGCACCTCTCCTGCCTACGGTTTATAAGCTCCCTCTCCACACTTATGCCGTATTCTATTCAAGATTGATGGACTGACCACATCGACTCTTATCAAATGGGAGAAAAAAAAAAAAAGCATACGAAAGTACACCACAAAATCGGTTTTAAACCAAAAACACGGTTGCAGTTTTTCCTCATTACGCACTGCGTAATGCAGTATTCTTTTTATATGGTGCACACTTACTGCATTGACCCTTTCTCTCGTATCTAGGCCCAAATTTACTGCTCACAACTTATCTGAGTGAGGTGAACTCCAGATGAAGTGAAATAGGATAAGAAAACAATGATATAGGTGTAAAACATGCAATTCATAAAAAAATGGTAAAAAAATTAAAAAATAATAAAACAAAGCAACTTCCTTAACACAACGAGCACTTGATTATACAGTAATGATCCAGCCACGCTTCCTTTTTGTTAGTAAACCCTTAGTCATATTATTATTATTAAGACACTGGCTGTTTCCCACCAAGGCAGGGTGGCCCGAAAAAGAAAAACTTTCACCATCATTCACTCCATCACTGTCTTGCCAGAAGGGTGCCTTACACTACAGTTTTTAAACTGCAACATTAACACCCCTCCTTAGTCAATTATCTTTGCCTATTTCTAAACAGAATACAAGATGCAACTTACTTCTCAAACACCTGTTTCCTTTCACGTGATGTAAGTAGAAGGTAACGGGAATCAAACACAATTTTGGAGAGTTCCTTTTCCCATGAACTAAAGGCAGAAACCTGTGAACATAAAATAAGATGACAATCATTGAAAATTAAGAAACATGTTCTTAAATTTATTTCTATAAACTGAAGGGAACTTATCAAGCCGCTTTTGTTTATACCCACTTTCTGAAATGGGGCAACTAGTTAATTATACTTTACCTACTTGAGTATGCACAAAAAAAAAACATGCATATATAAATTAAAGAGCAATGCTCAGCTGGATTAATTTTAAATGTTATAACAAATGATTATGCTTGTAATGCTAATACAGTAATTATGTTCTTTTAAATGCTAATATAGTAACTGACTATGCTCATTTAAATGCTAATATAATAGACTGATTATGCTTATTAAATGCTCATACAGTACATAATGATGCTCAATTCATGTTAATAAAGTAACTGATTATGCTTATTTCAGTGCAAATACAATAACCAATTATGCTTTGAGTTTCCAGGGAGTAAGTGCATAGTTACATTCCAATCTGAACTATAATTTTGAAACTATTTTCTAATATCCTTACATACCAAATTATGAAATGCCGAAGCAGAACAGACTTGTCTTACCTTGCAAAGTATTTTGCCACAAATAAGCAAATTATAGAACACTAAGAGTCTAAAAATTAGGCGGACAAACATAACCAGGAAACATTCAAATAAGCGAAGTTATCACTCAGTGTGAGAATTGGTTGCACCATTATTCATTTTCTAGCTGTTTTTAAAGATGTGTACAGATATCAAATTGATATGACCCTCCCTGCTCAATGCAACTACTAAAATTATGAACACAGACATCTCATAGCATGCATTTTTATTAAAATACTATTAAAAATTTTAATTAAAAAATAATGAATTACAATTTTAACTCGGTTAACAAGCAATGTTTAAAAAAAAAAAGTGGCTAAGGAATGAAAGCTTTTTCTTTCTGAGACTTTTAAATGGCTGGGGAAAGCTGCCCTCTGAATCTGGCTCAATATGACATATGGTGGGGTAGCAGCACTCTTAACCTCAAGAGACAACTCACCAACAGCTGACAATCGATTAAACAGATGGCTCACAGCCATCTACTGCTTAACAGTCTCATGAACATCTAACATTTCTCAACAAGCAAACAAACCAGGAATTTAAGGTAGGGTAAAATTCTTCCATCTCAATTATTACTATTATAAACAAGAAAATTGTATAGTGAAATATGCCCTGTCATCACTTAACAAAATGTACAAGTCAAGTCAACTCATAAAAAACTCTGTCATTTACCACTCTCTACTCTCATAAACAACACTACCAACAAGCAATAAAACAAGGAATTTAAGGTATGAAAAGTATCGTCCTTGTCACTATTATAAATGAGAAATTTGCAGTAAATTGCATAATGTCATCATCTAATAAAATGTAAGGGTTAAGTCAGCTGATAAAAGTGATAACCAACAAACATCTACTACACAATGAGCTACCTAACTCTCGTAACAGTTCTACATCAACAAGCAATTTTTTTTTTTTTTTTTTTACATTAATTGATTTTACAAGCTAAGAGCTATTATACCTTCCTCCTCTTCAACATTTAACAGCTCCTCAAAATTTTCCCACCATTTTCCCAATACCTCCATCCTCCCTATCTAATAACTCTCCTCTTTTGTTTTTTACTGTTAAATACATTAGTTCCTTAAGCTTTCTTAACTTATTAATCTGACTCCAAAACTTCTTATTCATCACCAAATTTGTTGACTAAACCACAGCCACTCAGTTATTTGATCTCCTTTTATACTCCCTCACCAGTCTCTTAACCTCTCTCCTTTTATCACCTCTGCTATGTAAAAACTTACCACTCTCTCTGTCTATACCTCATCATTCCACCAAACCCTCCTATGCCCACCATCCCATATCCACAAACTTCACAAAAGTCAATTAAAATCCACAAAAAGCGACCATGCCATTGAATCTTTCTCCTCTCCCTCTCTCTCTCTCTCTCTCTCTCTTCTCTCTCTCTCTCTCTCTCTCTGCAGTCTCTTGTTGTACTAACCTTCCCCATTCCCATTCTTGCATATACAGTGGACCCCCGCATAACGATATTAATCCGTTCCTGAGAGCTCATGGTTATGTGAAATTATCGTTATGCGAATGAATTTTCCCCAAAAGAAATAATGGAAATCAAATTAATCCGTGCAAGACACCCAAAAGTATGAAAAAAAAAAATTTACCACATGAAAAATACATTTTCCTACACACAAAGAGAAGGATACATGCACAATAGTAGAGTAGTACATGCACAATATATATTGTGCATGTACTACTCTACTAAATGAAGAAAAAATGACACTTACCTTTATTGAAGATGCGCAATGACTGATGAGACACTGTGTCCGGGGAGTGCCTTTTCCCCTGAGTACTGTAGGTCCTGTTTGGCATTTTCTTCCAGAACAGGCCTCATCACACTGTGAAATGCCACTAACGATTCTTAAATCTCTCAAACCAACCTTTGCTGACTTTAAATTCACCAATAGAGCACTATTCCCGGGAAATTTTTCCCTGTTCACCTGGGTGTTAGTCGACTTGTGTGGGTTGTATCCTGGGAGACAAAAATTAAAGGGACCCCAATGGAAATAAGTTAGACATCTTTGATGACACTGACTTTTTTGGGGTTATCCTGGGTGGCTAACCCTCTGGGGTTAATTGTTTCTGGTATTCTCAATAAGCCACACCAAAAACAGTGCTACAGCAGCAGCAGCAGCTGCAGTGTTTACAGCAGCAGCTGACAGTGTACAGCAGCAGCTGAAAAGTGCTACAACAGCAGCTGACAGTGCACAGCAGCAGCAGACGGTACTACAGCAGCAGCAGCTGACGTGGTACAGAAGCAGCAGCAGACAGTGCTACAGGCAAGCAGCAGCTGACGGTGCTACAGCAGCAGCAGCAGCTGACGGTGCTACAGCAGCAGCAGCAGCTGACGGTGCTATAGCAGCAGCAGCTGACGGTGCTATAGCAGCAGCAGCAGTTTACAGTGCTACAGCAGCAGCTGACAGTGCTACAGCAGCAGCTGACAGTGCAAACAGCAGCAGCAGCAAGCTGACAAGTAAAGCAGCAGCAGCAGCTGAAAATTTGCACAGCAGCAGGTGCAGCTGACAGTGCTACAGCAGCAGCTGACAGTGCTACAGCAGCAGCAGACGGTACTACAGCAGCAGCAGACGGAAACTACAGCAGCAGCAGAGGGTACACAGCAGCAGCAGCAGCTGACTGGGTACAGCAGCAGCAGCTGACTGTGGTACAGCAGCAGCAGCAGCTGACACTGCTACAGCAGCAGCAGCAGCAGCTGACAGTGCTACAGCAGCAGCAGCAGCTGACAGTGCTACAGCAGCAGCAGCAGCTGACAGTGCTACAGCAGCAGCAGCACAGCTGACAGTGCTACAGCAGCACACAGCAGCAGCACCCTGACAGTGCACAGCAGCACTGACAGTCTACAGCAGCAGCTGACAGTGCTACAGCAGCAGCTGACAGTGCTACAGCAGCAGTAGACGGTGCTACAGCAGCAGCAGACAATACTACAGCAGCAGCAGCTGATGGTGGTACAGCAGCAGAAGCAGCTGATGGTGCTACAGCAGCAGCAGGCAGTGCTATAGCACAGCGCGAAAGCAGCTGACAGTGCACAGCAGCAGCTACAGTGCTAACAGCAGCAGCAGACGGTACTACAGCAGCAGCAGACGGTACTACAGCAGCAGCTGATGGTGCTACAGCAGCAGCAGCTGACAGTGCTATAGACACAGCAGCAGCTGACTGTGGTACAGCAGCAGCAGCAGCTGACAGTGCTACAGCAGCAGGAGACAAATGGTTTTTAATACTTGACGTGCTGTTGGAGTGTGAGCAAAGTAGCATTTATGAAGGGATTCAGGGAAACCGGCAGGCCGGACTTGAGTCCTGGAGATGGGAAGTACAGTGCCTGCACTCTCAAGGAGGGGTGTTAATGCTGCAGTTTAAAAACTGTAGTGTAAAGCACCCTTCTGGCAAGACAGTGATGGAGTGAATGATGTTGAAAGTTTTTCTTTTTCGGGCCACCCTGCCTTGGTGGGAATCGGCCAGTGTGATAATAAAAAAATAAAAAAAAAAAAAAAAATATTAATTATTTTATATTTTATATAATTATATATATATATATATATATATATATATATATATAATTTTTAATATATATATATATATAAAATTATTAAAATATATATACATACATACATACATACATACATAAAAATAAATTTACATACATACATATAATATATATATATATATATATATATATATATAATATTATATATATATATATATATATATATAAAATTTAGGTAGTAGGTTGGTAGACAGCAACCACCCAGGGAGGTACTACCATCCTGCCAAGTGAGTGTAAAAACAAGCCTGTGATTGTTTTACATGATGGTAGGATTGCTGATGTCTTTTGTCTGTCTCATAAATATGCAAGATTACAGGCATGTCTTGCTACTTCTACTTACACTTAGGTCACATTACACATACATGTACACATTTATTTATACACACTCATCTGAGTTTTCTTTGATTTTATCTTAATAGTTCTTGGTCTTATTAATTTTCCTTTTATATCCATGGGGAAAATGGAATAAGAATCTTTCTCCTAAGCCATGCGTTGTTGTAAAAGTCAACTAAAATGCCCGGACAATGGGGTAGAAACCCCTTTTTTCCTGTTTAAAAAATAAATAAAAAGAATAAGAAGAAGAAAATTGTCCCAAAATGGGAAGTCTGAATGTGCGTGGATGTTTGGCAGATGATAAGAAAGAGATGATTGTGGATGTTATGAATGAGAAGAAGCTGGATGTCCTGGCTTTAAGTGAAACAAAGCTGAAGGGGGTGGGAGAGTTTCAGTGGAGAGGAATAAATGGGGTTAGGTTTAGGGTTTCCCAAAAAGAGTTAGAGCTAAAGAAGGAGTAGCAATAATGTTGAAGGATAACTATGGCAGGGAAAAAGGGACTATAAATGTATTAATTCAAGGATTATGTG